TAGGAAAAACAATATTCCCTCTTAACAAAACGTTAGCAATTACAAACTTTGATGGTTAAAATGAGTTTTTTAAGTATATAATATCTATATACGGCAAATGCAACAAATAAACTCACACACACTCCTCACACTTGGTGATGTTTGAACCCTTGACCTCCTAGGAGGCCAAATGCTACGATACAGCTAGACCAAATGCCCTTTGATATAATGAAAATGAGTTGCAAGTTGGGGATTGGATATTTTTAAGGTTGCGTTGGTACTTATAATAACACGACTTTCATGCAAAGATCGAATGCTAAGATTCTCTCTCAAGTATTATGGCCGTTGATCGATGGTACAAAATAATCTATAAATTGTTAACGTTGTTTTGAGTTAATACCATACAGTTTTTCTAGATATTACTGTTGAAAAAAAATACAAAGCAAAGTCATTCCTAACATGGCGTTACATCAATCGACCCCTGAACCCAATTGCTTATGAAGCCTATTTCGATCTAAGATTGCAAGCTTGTGAAAAAAGTAATCCATGTATGACTAATTGTGTGTTTGATTATATGGTGGGTTACCATGGGTTGATTTTTTTCAGGTTGGGTTGGCCAAGTTGATTGGTTTTTTGAGCACCCCTAGTTATACATAATATATATAATAAAATAATAAATAGAATATTGTAGGGAGTTTTTTACATGTAGTGAGTGAGATACTGAAAATTAAGGTAATGAATCCATTGGACTGATGTTTTTTCCCCCCATATTTGACTACTTACAATAGTTAAAGAGCCAATATGAGGATCCATAGATATTTACTAAGAGCATCTCTAATTTTATTCCCTACATTTTAGTTTGTCTTAAAATTAGTATCTATACTACCTTATAAACCAGATTTGTCAAAAGTTTTAAAAACAATATTTAATGCAAAAGTACTATACATTTATAAAAACAATTCATAATGCATCAGCTACTACTACTTTATGCATTATGTCTTAAAATCTCTTGATCTACAATTAAAATAACATATAGTACAAGTTACCAATGCACATTATTGTCTTTTTTTTTCATATTCTCAAGATACTTTGGATACCCTTCACTTATATATTCACCCTCTCATACCTCTATGTCTTCTCTTCATCCCCCAAAGTGAGATTCAAACTGATATTCATCATGAGTTATTAAAAGTTCTCTCATTCATCTCTCATTCAATTGCTCGAGAACTCTCGATCTCTTGGTTCTTTGCTCTTGGTGTAAATCGAACATATTTGTGGAGTCTTTTAAATATGTTGGATTTTAAATTGTTATACAATTTTTTTCATCGATAGACTGTAATTGGAACCGTAATTATTATTTATTCAAATTGTATTAATATGTAAAGACCAAGTGTAACTTATATCATCGTTAAATCTTCTCTAATAAAACCAGTGCAACTTCAAAATCGTTAAAATTCACGGCTCCTGCCACATTGCACGGATACACAACTAGTGTACTTTTAAAAGTAAGGTGACGTTTGTTTTTTAAGAGGTGTTGAAGTCTGAAGTCTGAATTCACTTCTGATTTTTAAGAGGTGGTACTGAAGTTTGAAATCTGAATCAATCAGACTGTTTGTTTTTTGCGTTTGAAATCTGAAGTTTGAAGATGAGAGATCGAGAGTTGATATAGATTGACAGTTGACAGAGTTGAGAGATGAGAGATCGAGACATAAGAGTTGATCCAGAGAAATCGAGCGTAAAGAGATCAGAGTAAGTAGGTGACAACTTGAAATAAGAGGTAATAAGAGGTTTCTCAACCACTTAAATTATCAGACCTAATAAGAGCCTTTAAGCTCTTAATTGAAAAAAAAACATTGAATCCTCTTATGTCTGACCGATTCAGACTTAAGAGGACATTAAGAGCTTTTTTTTTATTAAAAACATACAGCTCCTAAGTTTGCATTTTTTTTATTTTAACTTTAATTATGAGATGAAAAAAATTTCTTTTTATATTATTAAAGATAAAAATATCATTTGATTATTTAAAAAACTTAAATAATTTATATTAAAAAAAACTTAAATGACATTTTTATTATTTACATTTATTTTGGAAATTGAAGTATTTTTCAAACAATTCAAAGGTTATTTGTTTATCTCTTAATAGTTCTATTAAGAAGCAATTTCTGAATCTTCAAGAGATGAATCTTAGGGGGTGTTTGGGATTGCTTATTTAAAACAACTTATGCTTTTTTGTAAAAGTGCTTATTAACTTATGCGGTATCAAACCGGAGTTTTGTAAAAAGTGTTTGGATTAGTTTATAGCGGTACCAAACTGCAATAAGCTGATAAGTTGTTTTTTAGTGTTTGGCAAATTTTGCTTATACATGTAAAATGACCAAAAAGGACATCTATATATGTAAGCTGATATGTCAAACTTTTATAACCAAAATATCAATAACAAAAAAATAGATGTGGGTTATCGATCGATCAGAAAACCGATGTCGGAGACTGGATGCAGGTGGGATATCTCGATCGCATAGGGTTATCGATCTCTAGGGTTATCGATCGATCGCATAGATGTGGGTTATCGATCGATTTGTTCATCGTATAGGGTTATCGATCTCTAGGGTTATCGATCTCTAGGGTTAGGGTATCGATTTGTGATAGAAGAGATCGATCGGAGATCGATCGGAGAAGAGATCGATCGGAGATCGATCGGAGAAGAGATCGATC